CATGACTCCTGCTATATAGTACAATATTTATATTTTTAGAACATGTTAAATTAAGATAATTAATTTTAGCATGTAACATAATAATTTGTAACTCATAACATGATATTATCTAACGTCCAATTTATAGCATAATGAAGTCTAACATGTAACACAATAATTTGTAACTCCTAACACGATCACGATAATATTTAACGTCCAATTTATAATATAATCAACTATAACATGTAACATAATAATTTGTTACTCCTAACACGATACTATGTAACGTCCGTCAATTTATAACATAACCAAGACTAACATGTAATATAATAATTTCTAACTCGTAACACGATAATATCTAACGTCCAATTTATATTATAATCAACATGTAACATAATAATTTGTAACTCCTAACACGATAAACGTCCAATTTATAGTATAATCAAGTATAAAATGTAACATAGTAATTTATAACATAATAATATAGTCTAATTTATAACATAATTATTTCAAATATATAACATAATAATTTAAAAAAAAAAAAAATCGCTCGGCCGGCCGAACCGAACGGACAGGTTCCGACCGGCCGTCGTTTTCGGACGGCTTTTAGCCCGTCCGGACCGTCCGGTTCCGACTGCCGGACGGACTAAAAGCCGTTCGGTTCCGGCGGCCGGACACATAATTTTTCGTACTTCCGAATTTAACGACATTTCACCGTGCATTTTCCTCTGAGATGTTTAGAAAATATGAAAAGGACAAAATCGTCCTAAAGGACGATGAATAATAAAATGGGAGGCGGTGAATAGTACCACTCTTTTACAAACGCCTAATACAGTCGCCCAGTTAGATTAATTGATTAAAGACCTTTTAGTCCGTGCACAAGATCATTCCTCCTCTTATAATATTATAGATAAAGAGATTTTGTGCTTTTTGCCCTAAAAAATTTCAAGTAATTTATGTTGAGTAAAGCACACGATAAGAGGAGGCGTGACGCTGGAGAGTGAAGATCTCGACTCACGAAGTATTACTATAAATTAACAAACAGCCAAACTCTTAAAGCTGTGCTGCTTCTGTTCACTAACATTTTCATATATGCATACACGCAAGCATGAATTGATTATTGTCCTTTATTATCACATACACCGACAAGAAAATTTAAGAAGAAAAAAAAAAATCCAAAACTCATTAAGTCCTCTACAATCACAAAAAATAGTTATTGGCCGGCTCGGTATTCAAAGAAAACAAAATACTTTCACATCAACTGCACAAAATCGAGTTTTTTTTTTTTTATTTATTTATTTCTTTTACTGATTAAATACAGTTTTATATATATATAAATATCATCTGCAAATTATTTTTTGGTTTTTTCAGATGACTTAATATAGTATTCTTGTCGTGGTGATATAACATATAAGATACATGTTCTTGAAAGACGATTATGATTTATGCGGCATTGATTTTGTTTGGTGCAAAATATTGTTCTTCTACTTGAAATTGATTTTGTTAAGTGTAAAAATTAAAATATTGTTCTTCTACTTTTCAAGTGTTCTAAGGATCCAAATATTTGATATCCTAGTACTATTATATGTTGATTGTTGGGTTTCCATAATTTTTTTTCCCGGTACAGGGTTTCCATGATTTTAGCCGTCTTATAAGTTAGCGGCCAAAGATTAGTAACAAAATTAATTCATTTAAATTATATTTATGCAAAATTTTACGGAAATTAGTTTTAAAAGTTCAAAAAATTGAAATTTAAATTTTAAGAATGTATAATTTAAATATTATATAGATTGATATCTCAGTATATAATAAAATTAGAAAATAAAGTATTTAGAAAACTATTTTAATTTTTTTTCTTAGCTTCACTATTGATTATTGTATTTAATTTTATCCAAATTTCGTAGTTCCAAGCATAAAAATTAGAGCATCTCAAAATAATTTATTCTTTAATTTTTTTTACATATTTAAATTATAAATTAAAATAAATCTAAATAATATTTTGATAATATATTTTCAAAATAATGTTATTATAAATAATGATTTTATTCAAAAATATTTTAAAAATAATAATTTTGTATATGATTAATTTTTTCAATAATATTAATTAGAAAAATACAATAATTTTTTCAATAGTTTATCTTCAAATTTTATTATATATTTATATTATCAATTAATATAATACTTAAATTATACACTATTAAACTTTGTTTTCAATATTTATTAATTTTCCAGTATATTTCCTTAAACTTTTGCATAATATAACTTAAATGAACTAATTTTCTTACTAAGGTAATTTTACTAATTATAATTATTTAAAATATAAATTTCAAACTAATAGTATTTAAGTTTACACAATTATATAAAAATATAAGTTAGTTGGGATTAAATTGACAACTTAAGCCTTCAATTATGAATAACTTAAAATTGAAACTTTTAATTGAGAAAGTTAAAACTTAAGACCTGATTATAAGATAATAAAAAATAGAGCCCTAAATGAAATTTTACCTTTAAATTAAACACATTTTTTTCATGGGTAATTAAAAAAGACAAATATTTTAATCCTAACTATAAATCTATATATATATATATATATATATATATATATATAGGTAAGGGATCATATGAGAATGACTCTTAATGCGAGAAATGAGAATGTACCTGGATCATTGGATCTACTACTTCAATGGTTATGATGAAGTCAAAATTAATTAAAAATAGTCAATCTGTAATGGCATTCTGGTAATTATTTGATCATAGTGCGGTCAAATATGTGCATTTGACCAGTAATTAGGGTAAGTTAGTCAATACACATAAATTTATGTGGGACCCACTCACCAATTAAATAACTATTTTCTCTCTCATCACATGTATTCTTTCCCGATTCACATTTGCAATCTCACACACACACTCACACACACACACGGCGGCGCCACCAACAGATCAGCCGGAGCCAAACCACCTTCGCACAGCAATCCGCCGCCGAATACCCGTCACCAACCTCAAGAGGCCCCGCCACCAACATCAGCAGGCCCCTCCACCAACCACCACCATCTCAGCCCCCAACCAACACCAGTCCAGCCTCCGACCACCAACAGCCTCGCCGCCGACTCGAAACACCACTGGCCCCGGAATCGACACCAACTGCCACCATCCCTGCACAGCCGCGAACAGACCCACCGCCGCACAGCGACGTCGCCACCGCACAGCCACCGTCTGCAATTCTCCAACCGCGACATCTAGCCGCTCCGACCACCACCAATCCAGCCACCAACCACCACCATCCCCGACACCGACTCGAAACACCACCGGTCCCGTCATCGACACCAACAACCACCAGCGGTCCTGCCTAGCCACAACGCAAACAGGCCCGCCGCCGCACACCCACCGTCTGCAATTATCCACCACCGACGTCTAGCCGCTCCTGCCAACACCCGTCAATCTTCATCGCCGATGCTGTCCGCGCCGTCCATCTCCTCTCCGTGTGTCTCCGGCCAAATTCAGATGTCCAATTTTCGGCTGTCAAGATTCGCCGGCTGAATAGAGCACCTCCGGCAATCAAGCTCTGCAGGCTGAATTGAGCACCTCCGGCAAACGGACAATCGATCCGGCGGCGGTGATTTGTAGGGAGAAGGGAGGTGCGGCCGTGATTTTTGTTTGGGACTGTGATAAATTTGGGGATGGAATCCAAATATTGGGGATGAAGTGGTTTTGGGTGGGTATTTAATTGCAAATAGGTTAATTATTGTGAGTTATTTGCTATTTTTTAGAAACTCTAATTACAATATAAATTAATCAATAATTTAAATATTTTATACTAGATTATTAAAATTTAATAAATATAGGATATTGATATATAAATTTAAATAAATAAAATTGATATTGAACCGTAATAACCAAAATTTTAAAACATAAAATGATAATCGAACCGACATATAAATTTCGATCCGAAAATTTTATTTCGATTAGTTTGATTGCTATAGCGTGCAATATGTGAGACATTAATGTTCATTTTATCTAATAATATCGTGCACGACTTTGGCCGTGTTAATATACAGCATATCAGATATTAACAGTATCGTACACGACTTTATACGGTGCAACATGTTGTGTTATATGGTACAACGTATTACTGTATAAAGTGCAACGTATTAATTTTGGGACGTTAGCATTTTTATGTTACTTTATATAGATGAGGTGATAAAGTGCAAAGTATTGTTTTATAAAGTGCGATATTCCGTTATATAAAGTGCACTGTCTAATTTATACATTCCCATATAAATTATGTGTATAATTGTACATTGAATTAACCTAATTAAGATACTTTTCAATTATTATTTTTATTATAATTTATTAATTATTACAAAATATTTTTATATTATTATGCATATTATAAAATACATTTTATATTTTAATATTTTTATTTAATAATTTATAATATTTATAGTTGAAAATATAATATAAAAAAATCAAAATCCATAAAGTGCATTTGAGCAGGCAATAATGTGCAATTCGTCTAACATTATTGTGCAATCAACCGATCGAATATTTTTATGTGTTTCAAATTATAAACTTCAATATTGTGTATTTCAATTATCATTATTTTTTTCATTCATCAAATTTTTTATATCGTAAAAATATATTTAGTATATATATTTTTTATTTAGTATTTTATATTATGGTAAGTAAATTTCTTTAAAAAGCATGATATAAAGTGCAACGTGTTGTGTAGTAAGGTGCAACGTGTCGTTTTATAAAGTGCAACTTGTTGCTATATAAAGTGTTGATATATAAAGTGCACTACTTTATATTATTTATTTATTCAATATTTTATCTATTATTTTATTTTGTTATTACATTATTTTAGTATTTTATATTACATTTATTTAATATTTTATTTATTATTCAATATGTATGGTCGATTCTATTTTTTTGTTTATTTTAAAACTAAAACCAACATCGAACTGAAATAACCGTGACTTTAAAAGTAAAGTCGGATAACCGATCTGAAATACAATTTTTTTAACCGATCGGAATTTATCGTTATTGTTGGGATAAATATTTTGTTATTTCTGTTAAAATTATATTTAGTAAGTTAATAATTTTATTTATCATTTTCATATTGTGTTTGGTTGAAATTTTTTTGAGTCCGGTTGATGTTAACGTATTATGTATACTCGTTTTTTAAATTTATGTTGTGTGTTATTTTTTTGCGGGAAGCTATTAACGTTAAGTATGAAGTGTAGTGATAAAGTGCAACATGTTGTTCTATAAAGTGCAACGTTTTGTTTTATAAAGTGCATCGTGATAATATATGAAGTGCACTACTCTATATGATCAAATATAACTTATGTGTTTTTGAAAACTAGAATTAGTAAATATAAATTGTACACCAAATTAATCTAAATAATTAAAATAATTTATAATATATTATTACAAAATTATTTTTATTGTAATATTTTTTTAATAAAATGTTGTTTGTTTTAATAATATGTGCAATGTGCATTTTATGTTCAAATATGGTGCAATCATTAAAGTTTTTACAAATTATAAATTTGACCAAATGACTAAATTGTAATACATTAGAATATATAAAATTGCATTTGGGTATCTTGAAATTATCAAATTTCCAATAAGAAACCCCACAATCCCAATTCTAAGTTGTAATACATTAAAATATATAAAATTACATTTGGGTTCCTTCAAATTATCAAATTTCCAAAAAGAAACCCCACAATTCTTGTTTACAATTTCTGCCATTGTCCCCCATGGAGTATTGTTCAGACTCGGCGGCTCCTTCCATAACTGGCTCGTGCCACAATCGCCGTCGGCCAGAATGTCCTCGTCGGCGGTGTCCGCGATGAGAGCTATCACGCCGGCCATGGCGCTGTAGACGGCTAGGGGCGGTCAGTTGAAGGCGGTGGAGAAGAGCTCTGGTGTGAGGCTGTCGTTGAAGGCGGTGGAAGCCTGTGAGCAACGAGGCAAGAGGCGTGGATGCCGGTGGCGGGGTGGCGGCAGCAGAACTCCGGCGGGAGCTCGGAGGAGCAGATGAAGAAAACGGGAAGCTGCCGGCGGTGAGAGCGGCGATGGAGGGACTCCGGCGAGAGAGGGAGTGGACGGCTACGGTGGCGGAGCGACGGCGGCGAGAGTGAATGCGGCGGCGGCCTATGTATGTGTAGGCGTGAAGTGTGTGTGCGTGTTGGTGTGTGTGTGTGGTGTGTGTTGGTGTGTGTGAGAGAGATGTCTTTGTGTGTGTTGGTGTGTGAGAGAGAGATAGGATGGTGTGTTGGTGGGTGAGAATAGTTGGCGTGCGTGGGTGATAGATAGCAGGTTTATTTAATGTGGAGTGGCCCATGTGTTTGAATGTAGTATTGAAAATTACTATAATATCTTTAATGAATGTATATTTTTTGCTTTTTTATAAGTTGTTAGATCATGTGATCCAATGGTTATAATGTATTCCTATTTCTCGCATTAAGGGTCATTCTCACCGGAGCGTGACCCTATATATATATATATATAATTACTAACTGATGCATTTAATAAAACTTATTTTCATTTCCATCCAAAAGGAGTTATATTTCTTTTAATTAATTACTCACTAATCTGCTAAAACCGTTACACCTTAATATATATATATATTTTTATTATCTTTTTTTTGGATCAGTTACTAAATTAATTCTAAATTTGGTAGCAAAATATTTAACTGTGTAAAATGTTGGAACTTAAAGTTGATTGGCACATTCAGAGCTGTAACCGCTATATTTGGTTGCATTGTTGGAAGAAAAATATGATTGACACATATTTTTTTTTTCTAAAAATCAGAAACACCAATAATTTTTTTTATGTATGTTAATTTTTTTAATATTATCCACAAATATATAAATTATTTTACTCATGTTACTAATATAAACGTTCCACGCTTAAAATAAAATTTAAATCTCAATTAATTTTAAATGTTAAAAATAATTTAAGAAAAAATAATAATTTTTATATGATAGAAGTACATTTTTAATTAATAAATACAAACGTGTTTTATATTTGTACAAATGCAAGCTGATGTCCAACTAAGTGAAATGATATGTCCAGGTGAAACATAAATTAGGGATCCGCAATGAAAGCTGAATTTTCAATTTTCATATCATTGCGCATACATATGTGTGATTATTTATTTCCCTCTTTTCATGTTATTGCAATCATATGTGAACATTAGTTCTTGTCGAAACTAATTATATTCTGACTTTCTGGGCGTACTTTAATAAATTTACTAATGTGTGTAGTTGAACTAATTAGCACTTTATGAGTTAATTTACTAAATGTAATAATTTGGAATAGATGGAATGAGGTGTTGGAATTTCAATCTTTATCACATGTCCAATCCTAAATCATTCACCACAATGATGACGTTTGACTAATTACAGTGCTTCTTAATAATAAGTCAAGACATAACGTGAGTTAATTTCTCAATTTACCGTTATAACTTTCACCTTGACCATCCAAATCTACCAAAATAATTATAAATATTTAAATTATTCATGAGTAATGATCATAAGATCCATTTATGTCCAACGTCCATATAATTTATATACGTTATTTTCGTGAGAAACATTATTAGTTAACACATAGAATTTATATACGTTATTCTCGTGAGAAATATTAGTTAGCACAGTGAAAGTAACTGTTTATGAAGGAAATATGGTTTCAATTGGATGTGGGGGTCTTTTGTAGGTAATCAATATAATATCTCATTCTTTTATTTATTTATTTATGGAAGCTGAAAGTTATATTTTATATTTTTCTAAATGTAATATTTTTCAACTTATTTATCATATAATAATTACTACCAATATTATTTAATTATAAATTCACACGAAAAAATTAGGAACGTTGTAAAACTTTTTCTTGAAGTTATTTATTTTATTTTTATCTCATTAGTTATTTTTTAAATAACTAATTGAATTAAATGGCATAGCAAATTAATCCCTTAAATTGTATAATTGATATAATAATAGTTATTTAATATTTTTAATTAATTAACGACTATATACATTTATAAAAATTATATTAATTATTACATTATATTCCATTTATATATTTATTTATATATAAGTAAATAATATAAATATATTGTTCATTTTTACTAGTGATAAATTTATAAAATATGATAAGTGTATCATATATTTGATAATTTTAAATATAATATTCGTACAAATAATTTATTTTTATTTGCACTGGATTTGCTACAAGTCTATATGACGAACAAATTTTAAACTAAAATAATAATTGAGTATTATATGATGAACATAATAAATAAAATTGTTATTTTTTTTTACATCGAGTATATACTAAAATCGAATTTATAGTAGGATAAATGTGTTAGTCAGATAATATAACCTGACATGTTCATGTTTAACTTCTAGATAAAAAAAATACAAAATTTATTAAAATTGGTGGAAAATAATTGATCCAATCCTATTATTTCTGAGGCCTAAACGAATATGTAATATCTATGTCTCGTATATCACCCGACTACACCACGTACTAGTTTTATTTGTTAGAAACTAAAGTATTTGTTTTAAGTAACACAATTTTTAATACAGTATTCTAAGGGCGTGGTTGGTTGAACACACAAAAAAAAAAAAAAACTAATCAAAACTCAAATTTAACACAACTTTAACTCTTGCAACCTCACTATCCTTAATATTATTAATATAATTAAATAATATCAACCAATTATTCTTATACATCATATTAATTTTAATTCTTTATTCATCCACTCATATAATTTTAATTAGTCATCATTTGCAATAATTTTTACCCTATTTTTATATCAAATTAACATTAATTATCTTATACTATTAAATAATATTTTAATCTAAACTTAAATTGTCACTAACAACTAACTATACCACTTTATTTAAAAAACAAAAAAATAACTATGTGTAAAAAAAATCAATAAAAACCAATCTAATCCATATCCGATCACAACTTCATTCTCTAGAATTTCGAATGTTCTTGATGTCTTTCTATTCTTGCTCATTTTATAACGATAATGTTTGTCATTATTAGATTAGATTATGTTGTATTTTCACAATAAAATAAATATTTAATAAAAAAAATAGACAAATCAACCTGATTAATCACGAATAAGAACCATAACTTTCTTCAATATTAACTAGTTAATTAATTACCAATCTATACTTATATAAAAAGTCATCCTATTTACTAGAAATAGTAGGCAGAAAAGTCAAAGGTAATTAATGTTTGTTAGAAATAGAATAACATTAATTACAGATTTATTTTTGTATTTATAACTTGACATTAAAGATTTGTTATGGAATAAAAATCAGAATCGATTTTTTTACCTTTGCTGGAAAAGTCAATTGTAAGTATAGATTTTTTTTATCGCATAACATCGGTTTAGTTAAAGAAATCTCATCAAATCGGTTTTAATGTCAAGTCTATAAATAAAGATTTAATCGGTTTTAATAAAGCAGATTTAATCGATTTTAATAATTGCATAGAATTTCAAAACTGTTTATTTATTGTAAAACAATTAAATTCTAAAAAAATATTTGTGTATATTTTCTAAAATGTTCCTACAAAATATTTTACTTTAAATTTATTTACATAATTTAAACTAATTACATTAATAAATAATATGAACATACATTAAATATTTTAATTACATAAAACAAAAAGAAGAAGAAGATTATATCTATAAATTGTATAAATAATGATAATGACATTATACTACAATAAATTTTATAATAAAATAATATAAGTATTATACGAGGAACAAGATTACGTAAAATTGTTATTTTTCTTATATCAAAGAATAAATATATATAATGAAATCAAATTTATATTATAATAAACATGTGAGCGAGATAATATATTAATTAATTTACAGGCTAGCGCTACCAGACTCAGGTTTAATGTTCCGACAAAAAAAATGACGTTGACGAAAAGATGTAAAAAGATATATGATCAAACTCTATTATTTTTTAAGCCTGAACGGACGAGCTCTATGGTCCACTCATTTAATATCTCCCGTGAATCGCACGAGTTATTTAACGGACAAGCTCTGTAGAAATAACTCATTTGATACTTATGTCCCGTACATTGCACGGCTAGACTACGTACTAATACACACTCATAAGCCAAGGGTCCGATATTTCACAAAGACCAGAAAAAGAAAAGGTACTAATTAAGCCAAACGGAAAGTAGCGTTAGGCCTCCGCCGGCCATCCTGAACAGGAAATTCAGCAAAAAGCGCCTCCCAAATCTCGGAAAAAGCTTGAACGATAACCCAATGATAACGCCGGGAATTCAAGGACAAAAAACACTCCAAGAGCTGCTCCAAATCTGTGGGGTCGAACATCTGCTTCTCCAGAATCATGTCCATCATCGAGCTCTTGAAATCCTCGTAGGGGTCTTCTGATCTCTTCACCACCGCGAAGCTCTCCTTCACCTTCCCCTCCGCCGTGCACGGAATTAGCCTCTTCAACACAGACAGCCTCGCCGGAATCTCCCCCTCCGCCGCCGCCGCCCGCCTCCCGCGCCGGCCCCGCCGCTTCCTGTACCTCCTCCCGGTGCTGAAGGAGGAGTCCGTCGAGAACGACGAGACCAGTGTTTCCGTCTCCTCCTCGTCGTCCCTTTCGCCGGCGGCGGCGGCGATTTCGCTGCTGAACCACGAGCTGTCGGCAGAGGAGGTGCTCGCGCGGAGCTTGCTCTGCTTCACCTTCTTCTTCTTCTTCTTCCTCCTCGCCACCGGGTTCTTCTTTCCGCCGCGCCCTCTACGCTCCGGCGGCGGCGGCGGCGACGGCGGGCCGTCTTCCGGGGAGCTGCAGATTTTCAGGCGGGGCAGGGGCTGCTCTTCGCAGACACTGGCGGCGCCGATGGATATGATGGCGGAGGGAAGGCGGCGGGTGGGATTTTGGAAGTTCGCGGTGGTGAGAGACTTGGGTAGTGAAGGGATGGGATTTTCCGGGAGATTGGAAGGGTCTTTGGAGCGGCACGATTGGAGAGTGGCCGCGATTGCTCGGCTAATTCGAAGCTTGAAACGTTTGGCCATTTTTGGGGAAAATGTGGAGTGTGGACAACGTGTAAACCTATAACTGTGCGTGTCGATAGATAATGACAAAAATGAGTGTTATATAGAAGAGAAAAGGTTGACAGCTTTGTACGGTGATTTTTTAAAAATAATATTTTACATATGCTCATTAAGCCTACGTTTGGTTCAACTGAGGGGATAGAGAAATTTTAATGGAAGGAAGGGAGGGTAGACGATTTAAAATAATTTTACCTTGTTTAGAAGTATTTTGTAGGAGGGGAATGAAGGGATAAACCTTATTTAATTTAAAAAATGGAGGGGAAGGAAAATATTGTATAAGTGACAGTTATACCCTTAATGATATAAGAAAAAAAAAATTAAAATAATTCACAAATGAAGGACAAAAAGTATTTCATAATTTAAAATTTTTCCACCCCTCAAAATTTCCCCACTTTTGGAGGGGGGGATCCCTCCCCTTCCCCTCCTCTCCCCTCCAAATCCCTCAAACCAAACAATAACTAAAATTACTATTGGTGTGGTGAGAAAAGTAGTGTTGTAAGTGGTGCCGAATATCGTGTATGGGGACTCAAATTGGTGTAAGAACCCGCGCTACCGGCCTTGGTTCGAACACGATAACATGTGTACACCCGCACTGACGGCCTTGGTTCACACATTAATAAGTGAAAAACCCGCACTATCGACCTTAGTTTTTCACGAAGAAATGACTCGGAGACGGACTTCTTTCTTAATTTTTATTACTTTAAACTTAATAATCAAACATATATACAAATGTCCTATTTATAATCCTACAAACATCATTCAAATTTAAATATTTAAAACTATAACTAATAACCAACACATTAAAATTTAAAATATAACTAACATAATTTATCCTATCTAATTTCTTAACTAACATAAATAATATTAACTACTCCCGCCACTATGGTCCGATTCTACTCGAAAGTCTTGATCGCATCAGTGGAATAGAGCTGGTTGGCTAAATGAGTCACTAATTGAATCGATCTCGATTTGTTTATCATTATTAATGAGTTGGACTATAAAAAATTGTATAAAATTTCTTTTTTTTTTAGCCTTAACGAGATGAGCCGAACTCGCCTCATTAAATAAACAAGAATTAAATGAGCTTGAGTCTCGACTCATTTATCAAACTAAGCGGGCCGAGCTCTAGCTTTAACGATCCAAATCAAATCAAACTCACAAGACACTCGTTTCGTTTAACAGCCTTAAAAGAAAGTAAAGGATAAGTAATCGCCCTTATATATAATTACCGAATGCGCTGAGCCTAAGCGGCAGCCTCGTGTGTTTTGTAAGCTTATCTGCCATAAATCTCTGTTTTTTATTGATAAATGTACAAGTTTGATTTTGACTATTAGACTTGAAAATTACCATAAACTATTTTAGATTTTCTTTTTTCTTAATTTACCATATTCCATACTTACCTTTTCTAATTTGAGCCATATATTAGTCATCATGGTATTCCTTTTTATATATACAACTTTATAATTTTTTAATTTGTATTTTATTCATAAATAATCATATTTTAATGATCTTCGATTTGACATCTGGTAACGCAAAACACTCCGACCGACTTGAAATCGACTCGACTTCCTCTTCCTCGCCGGTAGAACGTCGCGAACCTGCACAGAACTCTCACACCGGAGGAGTTTTCCGGTGAAGAGCCTCCGATGCTTAACTCAGTATGTGTTTGTTCAATTTTCTAAAGTAAGTAATGGATAAATCGTAATTCACAAGAAAAGACCCACTCCCATATATATAGGAGTGAGATACCTGCCCTAGAAACTGCCCGGCTTTTGGTGAGCTGTCCTGCCCGTACTGTCCGTCCGTACACACATAATGTGTGTGTGTCAGAGATGTCAGGGGTGGCTATCGCCACTATCGCTCTGCACCAATGTATTCTCGCCACATGTCCCTCTAAGCTGAGGGAGATTATTCTTCTGCGCAGGCCGTTGGGATCTTTTAACGCCGCCCACGCGCCTTCTCACGTTCAAGCCACGCTCTCGACTGCTCTCCACCTGCTGCATGCTCGATCTGGTCGAGTCCCCATCCCTAGGTCGATCCTCGACCAGTTCTGCTATTCTGCTCGATCTTCTCCCTTTTGGTCGATCATCCTTCGACCCAAACGATTTTCTCTACTTCGAGCTTGCCCGACCTATGCAGTAGGCCGGTCTATTCCTTAGTCATATAATATCCCATATCATCTAGTCCCCCCCCCCACTCTGGTCGAGTCTGAATGACTCGATCTAAGAGTGAATTCGAGCTGTCTTCTCCACTCTGCCAACTTCTTGATCTCCTACTTGCCTATGGTCTCCTCTCTCGATCGTTTTTTGCTGATGTCGCCACCTTTCTTCGACCACGTGGTCAATTTTAATATGCACTATAACTGCCTTTTATTTTCTTTTATTATCAGCGTGATTTCTGTCTGCCACATGTCCCTTCCACTCAGTTCCTTTAATCATCGCGCCTCCTCGCGATTTGCGCCGCTTCGCGATCTGTGCCTCTTTAAGTTTTCCCACCGTTGGATCTTCTTTTATCTAACGGTCCTCTCCCTTAACTCTTCACCTTATTCATCTGTACTCCTATAAATACGGCCCTTAGCCAATTTTTTTGGCTTTTCTCACCTTTGCAATTTCGAACTCCCTTACGCTCTGATTTCTTCCTCTGCAAATTGTTCTTTCCTGCTCTCAGCGTTTCTTCAAGCGGTTTCCAGCAACCACTTCTCTACTGCTACCATGAGTAAGTCTTCTATGCTTTAATTTTATATTTGCGTGCATTCATTTTGCCAATTTTTTAATTTTCCCTGTTGCTTCTGCTTTTCCCCAAATCCTTCTCGTCTCGCCTGTGGCAAAAACCTCCTTCTTTGCTTTCAAAAACCTAACTCCTTTTATCTTCTCACTTTTTCGTTCTACTTTTCAGATTCCACTGATTCTAACGCACCCAGCCATCACTCTGTCGAAGATGAGATCGCCACATCATCCTTCCCCGCTCCTCGGCCTATTCCTCACTCGCCTTCCCGATCCGTCGAAGAAAATCTACAATCTCACTCCTATAAGTGTTCTACCTCCTCCCGATTATGCCATACCTTCTCTTCCTCGCCAACCTACTCGTCTGATTGATGAATCAGATGAGGATGCACTCGACCATGTACCCCTCAACCGTTGTCGGCCAGCGTTCGGGGCCTCTGACGCCGCTGAGGCAGCCATGGAGAGGGATGAAGATGATGTCCCTGTTGGGATCTGTGAGGATCTCGTTATGTACAAATCACGAATTCAATAGCAAACGTAAACCTATGCGCAGCGGATCTAAAGGTTTGACGTAGAGAACTTACGGCTTAAAATTTATGTAGATCTGGCTGACCACGAACGGTTGACCGCAATTGATTGACCGCAAATCACGTCTTGGGTTGCACGAACAAGATCAGATCAAAACCGGATCAAACGGATGCAAACAGATCAAAACGAGATTTTGCTGCCAGGCACCTTCTGGCGGCGCGTGAGGGAGCGTGCGGTGTCGGATTCCGGCGACGTCGGCGGCGATGGAAAGCTCTCGTCGAGACGGTCGTCTGGGTATACTGTACGTCTCAATCGAACTTCCGGTTAGTTCTGTAGGTCAAAATATATTTCGTCTCGGTTTACCTACAGATCTTCTACTGTATTACTCAATACACCCTTCTTCAACTTGTACCAGTGGAGCAACAAGAAGAAGATAAAGCTCGAATGAGATCTAGAGACAGAGGCGTGTTTCACGTGAGATGTGAACTCTCTTCTTTCTCATGAGCTTAATGATGTATATATAGAGCTACAGTAGGGACCCTAAGGAGATTAGGAAAAGGGCTCCTTAATTAATTAGACTAACTGTGGGCCAAACCCACTCCTCTAATTAATTAAATAATATTAATGGGCCACCAACATTATATTATTGCACTCCCTTTCCCTAGCCCAAATTACATTTGAGACTCCAATAATAATTACTCGATTTACCTCCCCACGTTTAAGATATAATGTCCATTAATTAATTCGATTACTGACAATCAAGAATTAATTAATTTATTATTATTTCACCGAAGCTAGCGCTCGTTCATCACATTCTTATTATGCCGGAATTTAATCCACCTGCAGGGTTTAGCATAACAATCCTTCATAAACTCACTCCGGGGACATCATCAAACTAACGCACATGGTGACCGTAAATATCCTAACAGCACATTCTATATATAATAATATTACCCAAAACAGTAGGAATATTAATCCAGCGAACTGAACCTCACCCATGTGAATCAAAGTAATATATATTATATATATCTGCCTGTTTAATATATTACGGGTTAAGAGAACGCAGTAATTAACCGAGGCCTAGTTCATTTACGACGATCAGTATAAAATGAACTTCTCCTCTCTGGGATCCTGTTCAATACATAAATGTACTAGTGCAACTAATCAGTCAAGACAAACTGTACAGTTGACACTACAACCGTTCGGATGGGGTGTTCATGTCCATCTAGGTTGTGAACAACTATTCTTGTTCGCAAGTGACTGATAGAGTGATCTTCGGTTCGCCCGATGACGACCCACCCTATCTAAGTGCAGAACAACAGAACGTAGAACTTGTTTAATCTAACATGATTCTCATTCATAAAGGGTAAATGTGTAATAACATGCAAAGCCAAGCTTTCAGTATATAACAGTAACAGTCCCCCTCTCTCAGCACTCCGTTTTTGCCCACGTTGTCTCCTCGAGTATGTCGAAGCGAAATGCTCCTTCAAGCACTCCTGCTTCGCAAGCCCACTCCGGTCCTACTACCGCGCCTCCTAAGCCAGCCAAGAAGAGAAGGCTAGTCAAAGATTCCTTCTCTAACCAGACCTCTTCTCGCCCTCTCGTCGCTGGTTGGCTGGACACCAATGAGGTTGGTCATCCACCAAAATGGGCTTTCATATCCCCTGGTTCCAAGGATACGTATGACTGTCCCCCTAAGGGTTGTTATAC